AGAGGGAATGTACGATCGCATCCGAAATCATCAGATGTTTGAAATTGAAAAATAAAATACTTAAGAGCATTAAAATAATCCTACGAAATAAATCGAATGAAAAAGGCAATATATTTGATGGAACATATAATTGAATATAACAAATAAAAAAATAATTATACATGTTTATATATTTGAATATTGATGATTAATAAAATTTTCATATATTTAATTAGTGTCATTTTTAGCTTTAAATTTTATTTGAATCTAAACATTGAATGTTAAAATATTTAGAATAAATAATATCATAATATCATAATATTATATCATTATCATAATATTACATATTTCATAAAACAAGACCATACTTCGCAATTTTTATCTACATATTTTTATAACCATATACGTAACAGGCTCTCATCTTTTCACCTAGCTTGGCAGCGTCAGGCAGGTAAGGTTGGCACGGGTACGTAATGGCGGACCAATCACGGGCCGTTCGCGGTTGGCGCATCTTTCATTATAGGTCTTTAGGGCTGATACAATATGATTCGGTTTGATTGGTTGACGCAAGTTACGCTTACGAAAGTTACGCTGCATGTAAAAGCAGCCTAAAAATGACCTAATAAAAACGTACCATAGACGTCTAGAAATTGACGTTATTATTACGTCAGAATATTCACTTCTTTTAAACGTCAATTATTGGGCACATGACGTCTGTGACCAATAATCACCATTTATCGACGTAAATATCACGTGACGTTGCTGCCTGGGATGTAGTCTGCTCGTAAATTGTGAAAGATTTAATTAGATAAGTATATTAATAAACATGATAACGTGATACATATATTTGTAAGAAAATAATTGTTTATAATGTTTATATAATAATTTCTTAATAAATTATACAAATAATATTATGATTTTACTTATTTATTCAAGATATATGTATGTTGTGTGATACATAACCTTAATTTAACTCAATAAGAAATAACGTCATTTTGACAATGTTCAAACGTCATTTTAAACATCAGATTCTTCATAAAAATGACTAATTAATGACGTCAAATAGACGACACCTAGCCGTAGCTTGACCGTAGTCAATAACATGAAAAAAATAACGTCTTTTCGACGTCGACTTATGACGTTATGTACCTGGGACATATTCACGTCATTTTTAATCGTAATTTTGAATATCGATTCAAATGTCATTTTAAGGGGGCATAGACAGTCAGCGACGCGAAAATAGACGGTTTCACTCGATTTTTTTGTAAGAAAATGAATGACATTTTTTTATTTTAACTTTTTGCGTCATATTAATCTATGTTCCGGAATAGGATAAGTTTCGCGCTACAAAAGCCGAATAAAGGATCGATTGCGCCATCCATCGATTCTGTCCGTGAATCTTTCGTCGCACTCACCGCGCCGTCTTGCGAATATCATTACTCCAATTTAGCCGCATATTCGGATACCGATGTCGCTGTCGTCCTGCCGATTCGTCGCGCTAATCGCGCAGCGCGATTCTCCCCTCAGACACAAATCAGTACTTGCCGTGTCAAGTCGTGCTCTCAAATTCCTCGTTGAAAGCAGCAGCTTTCTTTCTACGGGTTCGCTACCGCGACTCATTACTTTTGTACGTCTCATCACGGCTACCGTCGTGTATGAGTCTCGGCGTATTAACAGCAGTTAATCGTCTCTTTCGCAGTGCCACGCGAATAACACTTCGTTTACTTGTGAATAAAGCTTGCATACAACAAGTTAAAAGAGAAGTGCTCAGTGGTCTCAATCTTCCAGTCCACAAATCCATTCCGTCATTTGAGATCTCAGTCGAGATCGAAGCAGCGATTCAAACAACATCGAACAATCTGGTCCTTCGAGCCGGATTCGTGGCGGATAAACAACAAGGGACATTGTGACTCTTCGCTCACTTTCGTGAACGTAAGTGACGTGGCACATCGCAAGATTTCCGTTTCGAGCATACCAAGTTACGGAAACCTCTCAAACTCATTATGGAAGAATTACTATCGCAGCAGCGATTAGCTATGCGCTCTGTCACACGCGCATTGGAAAACTTTAAGAAGATCGGCCGTGCAAATCACACGTACGGCATAGTTCGGAATCGCCTTCAAACTCTCAAGGAGACTTACGCTCGATGCGAGCTCCTGCACGCACAACTGCTCAAAGTCGCCACCAAGGAACAAAAGGATACCGAGAAATACTTCAAAGAGGATGTCTACATCGAATTGGAGGACGCCTACCTCGCAGCATCGGACTACATCTCCGACGCTCTCGCCTCTCTCGAAGCAGATCAAGCGCCATCAAGTCCAGGGTTATCCGTCAGTCAATCACAAAAATCTAAAAAAACTCTTACATTACCGCGCATTAATTTGCCGAAATTCTCCGGCGATTTACGGGAATGGGAAACGTTTCGCGATCAATTCCGCTCCATGATTATCGATCATGCCGAGTTGTCGAATGTTACGCGCTTGCAATACCTTTATTCGTGTTTAAAGGACGAAGCACGCGACGCGTTGCGTAATCTCCCTTTGACCGAAGCTAATTTTAAAATCGCGTGGAATGTACTGCTCGCGCGTTACGATGATAAACGTCGATTAGTGTCGGAACATATTCATACGCTTCATACGCTACCGGCCGTTAATACCGATTCCGCGCAGGATCTTATGTCGCTTCGAGATAAAGCTAATATGTCAATTCAAGCGTTAAAAAATCTCGGTCGTCCAGTTGAGTGGTGGGACGATTTGCTCGTCTATCTAGTCGTGCAAAAATTAAATAAAGCCACGCGTAAAGCATGGGAATTACATTTAGGCGATAAAACGGAATATCCGTCGTATACGGATCTTCATAACTTTCTCGCATCGCGAATTCGAGCGTTCGAGAATATTCCAACGACCAGTACGGTCAAAACAAAACCGAGCAAGTCGTCCGTGCAAAGTCACACGACGACCGCTACCGGAGCTCATTGTCCGCTTTGTAAACAAGATCATCTCTTGTCAGTATGTCCTGATTTCAAGAAGAAACAGGTTAACGAGCGTCGCGATCTTATTGTCAAATTTAAACGATGTCTCAACTGTTTAAGCGCTCGACATTTCGCGAACACATGTCCGAGTAAACATAACTGTCGTCAATGCCAACAAAGGCATCATACGATGCTTCACGAAGCGACGACATCAAGCGCGACCGAGAATTCCCTTGAATCCAACGAAACGAATACGTCAAATGAAAACAACGTCGTTTCACATTTAATTACGAAAACAACATTTGACAAATCTCGTGTTCTATTAGCTACCGCGCGGATTCAGGTGTGTTCTTCGTCTGGTCGCACAGATGTCATACGCGCATTGTTAGATCAAGGATCTGTCACTAGTTTAATTAGTGAAAATCTCGCTCAACGGCTACGGTTATCGCGAACACGCGTTGCTGTCTCGGTTACCGGAATCGGTGAAACGCAATCCGTCGCACGACATGCTGCTCTTATTTCGGTATCATCTAAGACCGGCAAGGGTCCGTCATACTCAACGACCGCAATTATTATGCGCTCTCTGACTAAATACACGCCGCCTAAAATAGCATATCAAATCTCTCTCGCTCATTTAAGCGGCCTGCCATGGGCTGATCCGCAGCCCTCAAGTGCCGATCCGATCGAAATGATCATCGGCGCTGATCTATACGGTGCTGTTCTGTTACCGGGCCTGTGCTCAGGTTCCTCTAATCAGCCAACAGCTCAGAATTACATTTTCGGCTGGATCATGTCTGGTCCGATTTCGACGAGTTCGTCTTCAAACATGTCTAACGTGACAGTTAATCATACCACGTTGCACGACAATCTCGATGACGAAATTCGTCAGTTCTGGGAAGTCGAAGAACTTCCGCAAGTATCATACCTCACTCCTGAGGAACAACGTTGTGAGGAACATTTCCGAACAACTCATTCTCGTGACTCTAATGGACGGTACGTCGTACGGCTACCGTTCAAAGCCAATCCTCCGATTGCAATAGGCGAATCTCGTCACATCGCCTCATCACTTCTTTCACGGCTTGAAGGCCGTCTTCAAAATCAAAGGGATATCGCATCCGAATATCGAGAGTTCCTACTGGAATACGAAAATCTCGGTCATATGAAGAAAGTAGACGAACCCGTCTCTGCTTCACAATCAGTTTACATCCCGCATCATGCGGTGATTCGCGAGCATAGCAGCACCACGCGGTTGCGCGTCGTGTTCAATGCATCTCAGTCGACATCGAACGGCTCTTCACTTAACGATCATCTCATGATCGGTCCTAAGTTACAAACCGACCTTCGTTCGGTAATTCTTCGATGGCGACAACATCGTTATGTTTTCACTGCCGATATCGCAAAAATGTATAGGCAGATTCGAGTCGATCCGCGAGATCAAGATTATCAGCGCATCTTATGGCGCTCTTCATCATCCGAAGCGGTGCAAGACTACCGCTTGCTTACTGTTACTTACGGTATGGCGTGTGCTCCATACCTCGCTCTTCGCACGATTCAGCAATTGACGCAAGACGAAGGCGCTCAATTTCCTCTTGCTCAATCAGTTTTACGCAATCAAATCTATGTAGATGATTGCATCTTCGGCGCGGATGACAAGCCGCTTGCAAGGCAAATCCGCAATCAATTAATTTCATTGTTACAAAAAGGTGGATTCCTCCTCCGTAAGTGGGCAAGCAACTGCCCTACGTTACTCAACGACCTACCGGTCAATGAAAAGAGTCTCAGTCAAGGCAAAATTCTGCAAAGCGACGAAAGTTTCAAAGTCTTAGGCGTCACGTGGCTCCCTGCAACCGATACATTTCAATTCTCAGTCGAAGTTACCACGTCGATCCCAGATTCTAAACGGAAAATTCTGTCTACTATAGCAAAATTATTTGACCCGCTCGGGTGGCTTGCTCCGGTCATAATTACTGCAAAAATTATCATGCAACAATTGTGGGCTACTAAGTGTTCGTGGGATGATCCAATTCCACCCCCTCTCATGCAAAAATGGCACAATTATCACACGCAGCTAATTCAACTGCGTAATATCTCTTTGCCACGATGGACTGCCTTCGGTTCCGACACAAGTCACTGTGAGCTTCACGGCTTCGCTGACGCATCGTCCGTCGCATACGCCGCTGTCATATATCTTAAAGTGATCTCGCTCATGGGATCAGTTACTGTTTCGCTATTAATAGCAAAATCAAAAGTCGCGCCTCTTAAGCCCTTGACAATTCCAAGACTCGAACTATGCGCTGCTGCGCTTTTAGCACGAACAATGTCGTTTGCCAGAACGACATTAGAACTTTCGACAATTCCATGTCATTGCTGGACGGATTCAACCGTCACTCTCGCTTGGCTACGCCAATCTCCATCTCGATGGAAAACGTTTGTCGCGCATCGCGTGAACGATGTGCAAACTCTAATACCTGATGCCACGTGGCATCATGTTCCGACTCATCAGAATCCCGCGGATCTAGCATCACGCGGAGTTACCGCTTCCTCGTTCGCGGAGAGCTCACTGTGGTGGCAAGGCCCCGAGTGGCTCAAGCTTCCTTCAAGTATGTGGCCGAATGAATCTCGGCAAGATCACGACACCTCGCTCGAAAAACGTTCGACCCTCGTCGTACAAACTCTCGATATCGAATCTCAATGGGACTTAGCTTCCCGCTATTCTTCATGGCCGAAGCTTCTTCGCATAACGGCCTATATAATCCGCTTTATTAATAAGCTTCGAAATCGTATATACATAAAGCGGTCGTCAACCGACGAATCCGACTCTATTCCATCCGATATAATTTCGGTGGACGAATACAAACACGCGCGACTATTTTGGTTACGCGTCATTCAACAAAATCTTTTTCTCGATGATGTGCGTCGATTAAAAAATTCGAAACCCGTAGCGAAAACTAGCAAACTAATCTCACTTAATCCATTCTTGGATGACGATGATTTAATTCGCGTAGGCGGTCGATTACGAAAATCCGACCTTTCATATAACGCTAAATGTCCTCTCATTCTAGCAGCACATCCACTCGTTACGTTGATAATTCAACACGCTCATCTGCGTTCGCTCCACGCGGGCACGCAACTAACATTATGTGTTTTACGCGAAGAATTTTGGATTCTTCGCGCTCGTCAAACGGTTCGAGCCGTCTTGTATCGTTGCATTACTTGCACGCGCGAAAAGGCGGTTATCCCCAGTGAACTCATGGGCGATCTCCCGCCAATGCGCATTCGACAAGTCGATCGCGCATTCTTACATTGCGGACTTGACTATGCCGGGCCCGTTCCTGTCAGATTAAATTCAGGCCGTGGATACAAATCTCAGAAGGCCTACATTGCCGTATTCGTCTGTATGACGACGCGCGCAATACATCTCGATTTAGTCAGCGATTATACTACCGCCGCGTTTCTCGCAGCATACGCGCGCTTCTGCTCTCGGCGCGGGATGCCGACCGATTTATATTCCGATAACGCAAAGAATTTTCGCGGAGCTGATCGCGAATTGAAAGCTGCAATTCATGCAGCAAAACAAGATTCAAACTTGCGAAGCAAACTGTCGTGCGATGGTGTCCGTTGACACTTCATTCCCCCTTCCGCGCCCTTCGGAGGCCTATGGGAAGCCGGCGTTCGCAGCGTCAAATATCATCTCAAACGCGTTATCGGTTCACACACACTGACATTCGAAGAGCTTACGACGCTGCTCTATCAAATCGAAGCGTGCCTCAACTCACGTCCGATAGCTCCGATGTCAGATAATCTTGATGATTATTCATGTCTGACACCGGGTCATTTCTTAATTGGTAGCGCTCTCACAACGCCGCCATCTCCTACGCTACTAGAAACAAAAGAAGCGCGTCTGACTCGTTGGCAACTCGTGAAGCAAAAAGGCGAAGTTATTTGGAAAGCATGGTCAAATGATTATTTAACCGGATTACAACAGCGCTCAAAATGGCGCGTCGCTCAAAAACTCGCTCGAGTCGGACGCTTAGTTCTTTTGCGCGATCCCCTTGCACCACCGTGCAAATGGGAACTCGGTCGTATCATTGAATGCCACACCGGAGACGACGGATTAACGCGCGTCGTCACTGTGAAAACGTCAAAATCGACGTATAAACGTTCCATAGTGAAGCTATGTTTCTTACCCGTTGATTTAAACGAAACGTCCACATGATCGATTTCCTTTCGTGGCATTCATTGATCGAACTCCTTTCGCTCGAACTTACTGTATAATAAGTTAATGTTCTCATATCCCTCTCTATGTAAATATTTCTATGTATCTTTCTAAATCTAAGTCTTTACTCATGTCATGTATCATATAGTTTTAAACTCGATTGGCACGGCGGGCGGCATCGAATAATCGTGTTTCGGCTAGTCTAGCCGAGGCGGGCGGTATGTTCCGGAATAGGATAAGTTTCGCGCTACAAAAGCCGAATAAAGGATCGATTGCGCCATCCATCGATTCTGTCCGTGAATCTTTCGTCGCACTCACCGCGCCGTCTTGCGAATATCATTACTCCAATTTAGCCGCATATTTGGATACCGATGTCGCTGTCGTCCTGCCGATTCGTCGCGCTAATCGCGCAGCGCGATTCTCCCCTCAGACACAAATCAGTACTTGCCGTGTCAAGTCGTGCTCTCAAATTCCTCGTTGAAAGCAGCAGCTTTCTTTCTACGGGTTCGCTACCGCGACTTGTTACTTTTGTACGTCTCATCACGGCTACCGTCGTGTATGAGTCTCGGCGTATTAACAGCAGTTAATCGTCTCTCTCGCCGTGCCACGCGAATAACACTTCGTTTACTTGTGAATAAAGCTTGCATACAACAAGTTAAAAGAGGAGTGCTCAGTGGTCTCAATCTTCCAGTCCACAAATCCATTCCGTCATTTGAGATCTCAGTCGAGATCGAAGCAGCGATTCAAACAACATCGAACAATCTATATTCGAAGAACATTTCGTAATTTTTTTGTTGAAAAATATTAAAAATTGTAAGCGGTATAACTAATTTAGTGTGGCTCCTCAAAAAAATGTCTCTTAACGGTGGACACAATAAGTCCCGACAGGATCATTTGAAATCAAAAAACCAAAAAGATTTTGTTAGTAGATGAGTTTGTTTAGTACTTGAGCAAGGCACATTTAAAAAAAAATTTTTTTTTGAATTTTTTGTAGTACTTTGAAATGAAAATCGTGATTTTTGCTTAAAAAATGGGTTATTTAATTTTTTTAAACAAATTGTAAACGTTATAAAAAAAAAGTCTTTCGCTCAAGTACAAGCTAAGTATGTATAAAAAATGTGTAAAAAATTTCAAAATAATCGGTGAATTACTTTTTAAGATATCGTGTTCACCGACTCTGAAAAAGTGGTTTTGAGAAAAACGCGTTTAAAGTTTTCAATAAGAATAAAACCTTGATAATTTTATTTTTTTTTACTTACACTGAATCATCGATTCCAGGGCCATAAAGTAAGTCCTCGGCTGCTTCAGCAACATCTAAAGTTGAACTTTGTTGCTGTCTGCGAAGTATTCTTGCCTCCCGTGTAGCAAGTTGCGCTCTTCGCTCGGCTTCGGTAATTCGCTTCTCGTCAGCTTGGCGACAGTAATTATGGGCATTCTGCCCTAACGTGATTCCCATTGAATTTAGCATGGCTAAATGAGCTGAGCATCCTTCATTAAAAACACAAGCTGAAATATTTGCAGCAATAGTCACCATCGTAGAGCTACTTGCCAGCGTTTTTCGTGTTATTATCCAGATCAATTGGTTATAGCTTTCATTATTATTTTGGTTGAAGCCACCAATGCATCTGTCTAATAAGGCATCTTTGCTCAAATCATCGTAAATAGGGCGTATTGCTTGCAGTACATCGTTAGAGAGTGAATCATAGGTATGTTTAAATGAATTTAGCTCGTTATTTGCCACAGCCTTCTGCCACTTGCACCACGATTCTTCACCAGATAAACAATGATCATGTTGAGGATTTTGGTCTGTAGAACTGTAATGATAAAATGTGGCCCAAATAGCGTTTCTCATTTTTTCTATGGACTCACAATTTCGTCGTATTGCAAGCCCATAATAAACTGTAAGCTTGTCGATCAGTTTTCCGGTGAGTTTTCCTTTCCCTCCTAAAATTTTTCTTTTGATTGTCTTCTTATTTTTGTTTCAACATCAACGACGGTGTTTTTCACAAGAGCTCGAAGACGTGTTCCCATCCGTTTCTGCACGTGTCCGACGCATTCTTTTTTGTAAATTTGAAAATCAGAACCATACTTGACTTTTTGTAATACTCCAGAGAATGTTTTGGAGTCTCCGTCTCCAATATAATTACGATATTTCACACCATATTTTTTCTCAGAACGCTGAAACATTTCAACAATCGCGTCTACTTCCATTTTTCCAGAAGAACCTTCATGATTGGAGTCACACTTTTCCTTATGTTCTTCATACCATAATTCATATTCATTTTCAGAACCATGAAATTTTTTATTCCAAACTTCGCACATTTTACAGTAAGCACTTTTTACGCAAATATCAATGATTTTACCACTATAATAACCGATTAGAGAAGCTACACCAAACAATGAATTGAAACCGCGCTTTTGTCATGTTCCGTCTCCTGAAACAGTTAGTTCATTTTCATTTTGTGAATTACTTTTTTTTAGCAATTTCTTCTTTTTCTTCTTTTGCAGCTTTTACAAAAACTTTCTTCGCGACTGTATTCACACACGCACTCATATTTTTAACTATAATGTCGTACGTTTTTTGAACTAAAAATGCTGGCATATCCATGAGACCACAAAACTTTTTACAGCCTTCTAATCCTAGTCCTAAGATTCTCATCACGTAGATAAATCTACGATTTATTTCGTACGTATGGCCTATAAATGGACTCGAGTTAATATATGTTGGCTGACACTCATTGCACATAACAGCGATTTTGAATCCAAGACCACGTTCACTGCATATTTGAAAATTTACATCACAATTGCACTTCTTACACTTCACTAAATTAGAAATAGCCGTAAAAACAGTTATAAAATTTAAAAGTCGATAAACTGTATGATCGTCTTGAGGCACATTTAAGTCTTCATCGTGTTGTTTGATTTTTTTTGCAGAAGTATTATTATTTGATGAGTTACGTTCGCCTGATTTACGATAGAAAATATGTTTCCGTTTTCGACTTCTATCTTTACGCGAATTTGTTGTATTTCTGGTAAATCTATTTATCTTGTTATTTCCCATTTTGAAAACGTACGAGAAACATGAATTTAAGCATTTAAGAATGATGCAAAACTGACCGATATGTAAATCTGACAAATGCAAAACGGATTGTAATGAACAGGCATAAACATGCATCGACGCGGCGCAACGCGCCGTGAGATCAGCCAGTCGCGGGCCTGATAAGCGGCGCACAAAAAGCTCTCTCATTTTTCCAATTTTGCTCGGATCGACGTGAAATTTTTAGACATTCCTAAGATGATGTACTTTAATGTAAAAAAAATAAAAACTACATCGATTTTTTGAAATGTATGACTGCCTATGCCCTCTTAAATATCACATTCGTCATAAGAATAATTAAATAATAATGTTAAATAGACGACACTTTGCTACCTGGGTACCTTTTTTCTCTTCAGACTTTTCCTATCAACAAGCACAAAGAATCAATTCTTATAATTATATAAGGAATAGAGAATACAAATTAAGGTATCTACTAAACAAATAAATAACAGATCTGGAGACACGGTAGTGTCTCGGTAAAATAAGTAACCTAACCAAATGCTGTAAAAAGAAAATAATTATTTAGAAAATAATTTCTATTCTTACAGCGGAATTACAGCAGAAAATTTGTGTAATAAAGCAGAAAATATCTAACCTCACTTACGTGTTCGTCTATTCTATGCCATCGATGTAACACATTTTCTAACCTTAATCCTTTGTTATTGCTGATGAGACTTTTTATCCGACTTAACGATCGTACAGATCACAGAGATCGATATTTATTCTAATCTCACTTACGTGTTGGTCTATGCCATCGATGTAACTGATTTCCTAACCTCAATCTTTGTTATTGCCGAGACTCTTAATAATTCGACTTTAACGATCGTACAGGCGCAGCGATCGATATTATAGATTTATAGATACCCGTCGCGAATACATTTATCTCTTGCGCCAAAAATTCCAGAATGCATTTCCTCACTCCGTAGCTGACAACGACGACGACGACGACGACGATGTTTCTTACAAACAAACCCATTTCCTCGACGGCGAACATCTAGACACTTACTTCCTCGAAGGCGAACACTTAGACACTCTCTTCCTCGAAGGCGAACACCTAGACACTTACTTCCTCGAAGGCAAACCTGGCAAACACCTAGACACTCACTTCCTCGGAATCAAACACGTAGACACCCACTTCCTCGACGGCGAACACCTAGACATCCATTTCCTCGACGGCGAACACCTAAACATCCATTTCCTCGACGGCGAACACCTAGACGCTCACTTCCTCGAAGGCGAACACCTAGACACTGTTATAAGATTAAAACCGCGCGCGTCGTATGTGATACACCATGCAACACTGGTCTGCTGGTTAGATATAGATAGATAGAGTGAGATGATAGATAGAGTAAGATAACACATAAAGTCGAAGGCCCTCTATTATCGAAAAAACGAGACGTACATTTCTCTCTGGTCGACGACGATGACGACGTATCTTAAAAATAAAAAGTGAAAATTCACTGGTTCGGACTTTGCATCGCGATATCTCCGCTCGTAGGGCACATAGAAAAAAATGAAAGCACTTTTATCATACAATTTAAGTATTTCCTGTCGATTGAGCGTATCTTGATCGGTTCAGCCGTTTCTGAGATCTGATCATTTCGATCCCGAAAAATTCTCCGTTTCGCGTAAAGGAGGCACGGCAGTGTCGCGCGCTTGGCTTAGCGCCGAGACACTACCGTGTCTCCAGATTAGATAATATCATTTAAAATTAAAGGTTTAAATTATTAGATTCCAATATTAGATAATCATTTTAATTTAGAAAGGTTCAAATTTTTGGGGTTAATTTTCAAAGGTTGAAATTTATTGGGTTTTTTATTTTGTGGTTAGATAATCGTTTTAATTTAGGAAGGTTCAAATTTTTGCGGCGAGCTTTCAAAGATTTAAATTTGTTGGGTTTTTT